AAAAACGACATGTTTTTCTTTTTATTGAGTCAGTATCCTGAGTAAAAGGTTCGTCTAAGTGAGGGGAAAGGACAGATGGTCTAATAATTCTATGTTTTCTTGCTCTAAAAACTCTTTTGTTCTGTATGCGGTGTGAGAACTCGCATTGTCATGATGGAGGATGATGCGGCGGTTGCAGTTCTCTTTACGGAGTTCAGAAACGACCTGTGCCAAACAAATGCTAGCATACCATTCTGCATTAACTGTTCTTTGTCCCTCAAGAGGAATACTTGTAACATGGCCGGTTTTGGAGACAAACGTGGCCAACATTTTTTTTGTAACACTCCGTGAACGAACAGTTTTTGTTGGCTTTAACTCATTTTCGAACACCCAAACTCGTGACTGGTTTTTTGTTTTGGGTTCTTACGCATATATCCAGGATTCGTCACCTGATAAGATGTTGTATACAGCATTTGAGGATCCTGCGTGGAATCTTTCGAGAGTTCTGACGAACCAAGTAACGCGAGCCGCTCTTTGCTCTTCACAGAGCGAATGCGGTATCCATCGGGAAAACAACTTTTTTACACCTAATTGTTCATGCAAGATTATTTGTATTTGACTCATGCCAATGTCTAAAGTTGCCTAAATTTCGCGGTATATCACATGTCGATCTTCCTCAATCAGCTTACGTACAGCATCAACGTTTTCTTGGGTGACTGCAGTTTTTGGACGACATTGACGAGGATCATCACTGAGCTAGAGACTGTCGTGAAGCGACAATAAAAAAAAAATAAAAAAATAGAACCTAACCTAAGTACAACAAAACAACAAAGGTAGAGCCAGAAAACAATATATTTAAATTTATAAAAGGTATTTACAATTTTATAAAAAAAATGATGTGAGGATGATGATGAATGAAGTGAGAATACAATTAGATTATAAAAAAAAATAAAGGTGAGAGAATAGGGGAATATAGCGTTGAAGTGGGGCCTAAAAGTCGAAGCGACACACGTTGCGTTTGTAGATGTAGGTTTCTTAGCAGCGACGGCACGCAGCGCCTGAAGCCAGCACACGCCGTTTGCGCTTGTAGAAGTAGGTTTCTTAGCAGCGACGGCGCGCAGCGCCTGGAGCCAGTACACGCAGCGTACGGAGCCGGCGCACGTAGCGCCTGGAGAAGGGGCGCGCAACGCTTAGAGCTAGCAGTTGCAGCGCCCAAAGGTAGCGCCGGCGGTAGGTGCACTCGGCGCCTGGAGTAAGTAGTAGTAGTGCCCGGAGTAGTGTGGCCCCCGCGCTTGTAGTAGACTCGAAGCGACTTCTGAGGTAGATGGAGGCTTGTAGGATTCCGGAGTGGCGCGGCCCGAGTTTGAAGAAGGCTTCGCCGAAGACTTCACGTGTAAATGGAGGCTTGCAGGATCCCGGGGCAGTGCGGCCCCGGGATAAGGCCTTTAGGAGATACTTCTAATTCGCGAACTGAAGCGAGACTGCCTTTCTTCACCGATTGTTCGGCTTTTATACCTTTCTAGAGAGAACGGAAAAATTATTTAAATTATACGCAAATTTTTTGTAAATGGTCAAGAGAAAAGAGGATTTATGTGGAATTATCGAAATAGGAATAACAGATCGGTAGCAAATTTGAATATAATTACCATAGAAACGATATAAATAAGAAAGACAAAACATGTCAAATTTTTGTTTTTGATTTATAATAAGAAAACGGTAAGATTTAAGTGGAAAATGAGATATTATTGATATAGGAAAAAAGGTAACGCAACTGCCCACACAAAGCCCAAGATTGTAGAGTTACGGAAAATTAGCTAAAAGATCGAAAAAAGGTAGACTCCATTGACACCAATTTAAAAGTGCTGATAATGTGAAAATACGAAGTAGAAATGATTTGTTATTGTGTTCTTATGGTTTAAAATCGTTACAGGATCCTATGGAAATAAAGGTGATGTAAAATATCCAGTTTTGAGGTGAATGCAGAAAATCGAAACAGAATGGAAAAATGAATTTAAAATAATGTAAAATGATACGTAAGTAGTATAACACTACATTTTCCCCCCGACCCTGGAAAATTTTTGACTCAGCAAAAATTTTGATATATACATTCTAAAATAAACCATAAAAACACAGCTTTGCAGAAACAGACATCACCAGGCATAATCAGATATACTATCTCTTACATACATCATCTGCCGTTCAGGTAAGGGTGGAGTTCACATTCAATGACTACCACTCTAAAAGTGTGTTTTCAAAACGACATTAAGGCTTATTTAAGGAGTAGTCATCCGCTCCTGCGTGGAAAAAAAAAATTAGTCGAAGAAACACCACTCTTAAAAGTGTGTTTTCGAAAGGACATTCAGGCTTATTTAAGGAGTTGTCATCCGCTCCTGCGTGAAGATAAAGATAAAGAAATCAATCTTAAGCAAGCTTTAGTCGCTATGACTTAAGTAAAGATAAAGAACGGCCAGAGCGGTAGGGCTCAAAGCCAGAGATCAGCAACATCACTAGCGAGATGTGTCTGAAATAATAAGAAGTGAAGATTAACCTACCAAACAAACAAACAAATTAAAAGAAATAATAACAAGGTGAAAATGATGGTGATATTTATACATATATACAAATTAAATGTGATATTTATACATATATACAAATTAGCAGTTAATAAATGTTTAGATATTTATACATATATACAAATTAACAGTTAGTAAATGCTTAGAAAAGTTATGAATCGTCTCGCTTCAGCTTTGAAAAACAATTTTATATAAAGTGTAAAGTTCAAAGTTAAGTTTAAGAAATAAAGATTTAATTAAAAAAAATATACCTCTTTAAGTTACCTAGAATAAAAATATTAGAGTGATGAATGTAAGTGAAGTGTTAAATGTAGGTCTAAATATAAGCCAGATACGTTGAAACACTAGATGAAGTGTTGTTTTAGAATTTGGAAGATATGAAAAGGATGAATAAATGAATGATGAATAATGAGTTAAGAACGAAAGGGAGAGCAATTAAATCAAAAGGGAATGGACAAGGCGCAGTAAAGGTGAAGAATTAAGAGAGAAAGAGGACTTTTACGTTGGGCGCCAAATGTCGTGAAGCGACAATTAAAAAAAAATAAAAAAATAGAACCTAACCTAAGTACAACAAAACAACAAAGGTAGAGCCAGAAAACAATATATTTAAATTTATAAAAGGTATTTACAATTTTATAAAAAAAATGATGTGAGGATGATGATGAATGAAGTGAGAATACAATTAGATTATAAAAAAAAATAAAGGTGAGAGGATAGGGGAATATAGCGTTGAAGTGGGGCCTAAAAGTCGAAGCGACACACGTTGCGTTTGTAGATGTAGGTTTCTTAGCAGCGACGGCACGCAGCGCCTGAAGCCAGCACACGCCGTTTGCGCTTGTAGAAGTAGGTTTCTTAGCAGCGACGGCGCGCAGCGCCTGGAGCCAGTACACGCAGCGTACGGAGCCGGCGCACGTAGCGCCTGGAGAAGGGGCGCGCAACGCTTAGAGCTAGCAGTTGCAGCGCCCAAAGGTAGCGCCGGCGGTAGGTGCACTCGGCGCCTGGAGTAAGTAGTAGTAGTGCCCGGAGTAGTGTGGCCCCCGCGCTTGTAGTAGACTCGAAGCGACATCTGAGGTAGATGGAGGCTTGTAGGATTCCGGAGTGGCGCGGCCCGAGTTTGAAGAAGGCTTCGCCGAAGACTTCACGTGTAAATGGAGGCTTGCAGGATCCCGGGGCAGTGCGGCCCCGGGATAAGGCCTTTAGGAGATACTTCTAATTCGCGAACTGAAGCGAGACTGCCTTTCTTCACCGATTGTTCGGCTTTTATACCTTTCTAGAGAGAACGGAAAAATTATTTAAATTATACGCAAATTTTTTGTAAATGGTCAAGAGAAAAGAGGATTTATGTGGAATTATCGAAATAGGAATAACAGATCGGTAGCAAATTTGAATATAATTACCATAGAAACGATATAAATAAGAAAGACAAAACATGTCAAATTTTTGTTTTTGATTTATAATAAGAAAACGGTAAGATTTAAGTGGAAAATGAGATATTATTGATATAGGAAAAAAGGTAACGCAACTGCCCACACAAAGCCCAAGATTGTAGAGTTACGGAAAATTAGCTAAAAGATCGAAAAAAGGTAGACTCCATTGACACCAATTTAAAAGTGCTGATAATGTGAAAACACGAAGTAGAAATGATTTGTTATTGTGTTCTTATGGTTTAAAATCGTTACAGGATCCTATGGAAATAAAGGTGATGTAAAATATCCAGTTTTGAGGTGAATGCAGAAAATCGAAACAGAATGGAAAAATGAATTTAAAATAATGTAAAATGATACGTAAGTAGTATAACACTACAAGACGTCCATGTTGAAATTCAGCAAACTAGCGATAAATTGTGTTTTTGGATGGGGCTTCATCACCAAATGCTGAAATCATCCGATCAACACACTGTTTTTGTGTTAAACCACTTCGAAAGTCATAATAAATCATCGCTCTTGAATTTTCTCGAGTCAATTCCATTTTCTCGACGACTAAACAAGTTTGACAAAACCATGTGACAAGAGCGAGAATCTTTTTTTTAAATAAATAAATGGTATTCGATTTTTAAAACCAAGGATTTTTCAATTAAAAAGATTTTAATATGACAGGAACAGTGGAAATATTCCATTCCCGATACTTTTAATGCAGCTTACAAACTGCGAGCGGTCTGTGAGACCACTCGTCCACAGTTAAAGGTTAAGGGCTCCTGCCCACGAGACGGTTACGGCCTGGTTTTTTGCCAGTGCCGGGTAGAAACCGTCCGAGCTTGCACTGAATATGGTTTGTGTTATGTTCTTGGTACGGGAGACAAGTGAAACACAACACAGCTATTGCCACACTGCCTGTATTCTCTGTTAGACACATATCGTGGGCGCAGCCACGCACACATACATATTACTCACGTACATACACAACAGTCCCTCCCCCTATTTAACTTATCTAGGAAATCACAATTTAATTTTAGAAGAACTGCTTATAGTCAACCCTGGGTATATCTCGCAACAGTCTTCTAGAACATCTCGGGTTATGAGGAGATGGTGAGTATGAGAATTCCTCCTCATCTCTTTCTCCCTCCCCTCTGCTTGGCAACTGAGAACCGCTATGTTCGCTTTGAATTGGGTCGCTTTCCCACATAAAATCGCCCAAATCCCCGGGTGGAGACATACCTTTATTTAATACTATTTGATTTTTATGTTTTTTGACGTCAGTAGAAGAACCATGGTCTTTAATCAAATATAGCACTTTACCGAGTCTTTTTATAACAGTACCTTGGCACCACAAAAATTTGCTATTATTCAGAAACTTTTTAAACATAACCTCATCGCCTGGCGCATACACTTGTTTATTATTGCCGCCATGGCATTTAATTTGCGAGCACTGTTTTTGTTTAACATCGTCATTTAGTGATGTGAGTGGGGTCGACGTTAACTTTGGGTGAAGTAAATCTAGACGTGTTCTCAGCTTACGCCCAAACACCAACTCAGCCGGTGATGAACCCGTGACAGAATGTACTGAATTCCTATAGTCAAACAGATATTTCAAAATTTTTAGCCTACACTCATTCCTATTGCGTGAACCTAAAACGCTTGACTTTATGCCCTTTTTGACAATTTTTACGAAACTTTCTGCTTGTCCATTACTAGCAGGATTGTAAGGTGGTGATGTAATATGAGCAATACCATTTAATAAACAAAATTTTGTAAACTCAGCGGATGTGAACGCAGTACCGTTATCGCTAACAATTGTGTGGGGTAATCCGTACTTAGACATAAAGTCGTAAAGTTTTTCAATAACGGTCGCCGAGGTGGTAGAAGTGCTCACGTCGTATACTTCTAACCATTTGGTGTGCGCATCTACCACTACTAAGAACGTTTGATTATTCAGCGGCCCCAGAAAGTCGACGTGTAACCTATGAAATGGTGTATGGGGAAACTCCCATGGTGCTAAAGGCGCTCTGGGTGGCGAGGGCCGTAGCTGTTTGCATATTTCACACGAGTGTATCATTTTTTCTAGCATTGCATCAATGCCTGGGAACCAAAACCGAGACCTAGCTTCTGATTTCGTTTTTACGATACCTAAATGCGAGCTATGTAACTCTAATAAAACCTTCGACCGCAAAGATTCGGGAAGTATCACCTTATGACCCCTCATTAAACAACCGTCTTCATATGATAATTGGGTCTTACATAAATGATAGGGTTTCAACTGCGAGTCCACTATTTTTTTAGGCCAACCGTTTTGAACATAATTTACCACTAACTGTAATACAGCATCCTCTTTAGTAGCTTTGCGTAACTCATTCAAGGTTAACGGCATGTCGCCTTCGACAACAAAGTTAATGTATGATGCGCGATCAATGGGAGCGGCGGCGGCGGCGGTGTGTGCGCCGATGTTGTCTCCCTCGCTCTCGGCGCGAGCCCGCGGTGACTCACCCTGTAAACTCGCGCGAGACAGAAAATCCGCGTTGTTGTCGGCACTACGAACATACTCGATTGTATAATTGTATGCACTTAAAAACATTGCATATCTCTGCAATCTATTAGCCGACACTTCCGGTATACCTTTGTGTGGGCCGAAAATAGAAATTAACGGCTTGTGATCCGTGCGTAATATAAATGGATCTGATCTGCCATATAAATATTGATGGAACCGGCGTATTCCAAATATTATTGCGGTCGCCTCTTTCTGTATCTGTGAGTAGTTTTTCTCAGCTGCGTTCAACGTGCGGGAAGCGAATGCTACCGGACGCTCTAACCCCTCATTGTCTATTTGGGACAAAATAGCACCTAAGCCGCACGGGGAAGCATCGACAATTAAAACTATTTTGGCGTTTGAATTAAAGTGTGTTAAGACCTGATCCGACGTCAAACATTTCTTAATTTTATCAAACGCTTGTTGATGTGACGTAGACCAGTTCCACTTAACCCCCTTTTTTAATAGGTCATACAAAGGACTCAAGATGCAGGATGCTCCCGCCACGAAATTCCTGTAGTAGTTTACCAGTCCTAAAAATGATTGCAATGTATTAACGTCAGATGGAATGGGCGCATCAGCTATAGCCTTCACCTTTTCCGGATCTTTCTGTAATCCATTTTTGGTTATTATATAACCTAAATATTTTACTTCATTTTTAAAGAAATCGCATTTATCTTTCTGCACAGTTAATCCTGCATCCTGAAGCCTTTGCAGAACTATATTCAACTTCTTCAAATGTCCCCCCGGGGTCTGGTCAGTGACTAAAATGTCGTCAAGCAGACACAGGACCCCGTCTAACCCTGAAAGCGTCGTTTCCATGGCGCGCTGGAATATAGACGGCGCAGAAGACAACCCGAAAACTAGTCGAGTGTAATTAAATAGACCCCGATGTGTATTGATGCATGTGACAGGTTGAGACTCTTCGTCTAACAAAAATTGATTATAGGCCATAGATAAGTCAATCTTTGAAAATTGTTGGCCCCCGTACAGCCTTGAAAATAGTTCGTGTACCGTGGGTAGAGGATATTGTTCTATCAACAGCTGTTTGTTAATAGTAACCGAATAGTCGGCGCACAACCTAACCGAACCGTTGTTTTTTAGCACGGGAACAATAGGTGACGCGTACTCAGAGTGCGATACCGGTTTAAGTACACCTAGATCCACTAAACGTGTTATTTCTTTATCCACCTTGTCACGTAACGCGAACGCAATTGGACGCGCTTTACAGAATATCGGTTTCACATTATCCTTTAATTTTAATTTAACACGATATTTATTAAATTTACCCAACTTATTCGAAAATACTTCCGGGTAACGCGATTGGAATTGCTCCACCATACTCTGCTCACACTTCAGAAAATTACAAGGCGTCAACTTAAGTTTAAATTTTGATATGAAATCCCTGCCTAATAATGGTGGTCCGCCATTTTGAATGACGTAAATGTCCAATGTGTGAGTGTGTTGTCGGTACGTCACCGGCAAGTTTAAGTACCCTATACATTTCATAATGTTTCCGGTGTAGCTAAAAAAACTTTTATTGGAATCTAGCAACGGAATATTACTGAACATGTTTTTATAAGTACCCTCGGATATGACTGATACTGCTGATCCACTATCTATTTGAAATTGTACATTTTTCCCGTAAATTGAAACTGTTTCTGTCATAGGTTCCCCACGGTCTGAGCGTATGTTAAACAATGACTTACCGTCGTCGTCCTCACTTACATCACCTGTCAACACGTAATTAACCTTATTACACATTTTACGTAAATGACCCTTGGTGTTACACTTTTTGCATTTATAGCTTGCAAACCGACATTGGGATGACTCGTGATTGTTACGACCGCACACTGTACACTTTATTTTACCGGCACTAGTGGCTGTAGCACTATTTTGTTTGGCGATCCTGAACACCGGCTGCCCAAGGCCGGCCGTAGTAGTTGCGGCACCAGCGCGCGCGCACCGCGCGCTCTCCGCCAGCTCCACTGCCTTGGCCAGGTTCAGCTTGTCAATGTCCTGCGCGAACAGCTTCTCTCGTTCATGGCCTGCTACCATGCCCATCACAAACCGATCTCGTAACGCTTCCTCGACGTTACTAAATCGACAATGTGCTGTAAGTCCTCGTAGCCTTGACGCCCATTGTGTATATGTCTCGCCCGGCTGCTGCACAGCCGCATAAAAATTGTAACGCTCGCTGAAGCCGCATATTTTTGGAAGAAAGTGCTCATCCAATAACTTCACTATCTCATCATACGGTACTTCCTGGATATCCTTTGGCAGTGCCAGATCCGCTGCCAACTTATAAGTACCGTCGGTTAGTGCGCTGAGCAGGATCGCCCGTCTCTTGGCTCCAGCTGTATCATTCTTCTGGGTGATGTCGTTTGCAATAAACCATTGCGTAATTCGGCCTTTATACGACTTCCATTCTTGCACGTTGTGATCAAATGAAGACAAAATGCCAAAGCTATTCATTTTCCGATTATAAAATTAAGATGTGGGTAGTACTCTCGTCGCCACTGTTATGTTCTTGGTACGGGAGACAAGTGAAACACAACACAGCTATTGACACACTGCCTGTATTCTCTGTTAGACACATATCGTGGGCGCAGCCACGCACACATACATATTACTCACGTACATACACAACAGTTTGTATACGACCCGGTTTCATGGAGGCGAGCACCATGCCCAACTGGGCAGCTCAACGCACAACTGCTAACGCCAGCGTCGTGTGATTGGTTTAATAGTGTCCCATATAATACTCACAACCGGACGTGTACCCGATTTGACGCCGGGCTTAGCTCCGGCGAAAAACCGTCTCTTAGGCATGAGGCCTAAGGGAGAAAATATTGATATCTATCTAGCTGTTACGCACAATATTTTTAGCAGACTTCCAGAGAAAATTAACGAAGAACAAAACCGTTCGATCTTATTGAAGAATATACAGCCATATTTTCAAATTTCAGTTTGCAGAGATCAGTTTAATACCGTATCAGAATTGACGTCGTTGTTAAGAGTCTTAGAACGCACAATAACTAACTGTAAAAATTTCCAACAGCCACCAAACACTAAAAATACTCTGGAGCCGGACCTAGCATATCAAGAACACTCCCTTGCGGAAGTTAATGAAGTGACAAAATAGCATCAACAGTTAATGTAAGAAATGTTGGCCTGCAAAACATAAAATGCTGGAATTGTCTTGTTACTGGTCACACGTTTAAAAATTGTACCCTTCCTCGTCAAAGGTTATTTTGCTATAAATATGGCAAATTTGGCCTAACGATAAAAAATTGTACATGTTCGGGAAACGACTTCAGATTTTAAAGATGAAGAATGGATTCTGCCATTCGGTTGAAGGTTGTTTCTCATTACTTGAAAACTGGCCAGTTATACAATGTCGTATCAAAAGGTAAACAACCATCATTACGCTCTTGTTTAAATTTTAAATAAATATTTCTTGGGATAACTTAATTCAGGAGCCACATCTTCTATGATTTCTAGCGGTTTAAGTCGTAAATTTATGATTTTGGGATTTTCAATCCATGAAATACCTCAGTTGAGTATATTCCATGGCAGATGGAATATCCTACAATACAAAATGAGTAATTTATTTGCCAATACTGTTTATGAAACGGTACAAAGTGGTGAAATTTTACATTATGTATAATTTAAGTCTATATATTAAGTCTATATATAAAATGTCTTTTAGCAGCGTAGGTAGAGTTTCTCATAAAAACAGTAAATATGCGTCTTCTGTTAATCTTTGTAAGAACACAGGTCCCAGTATGTATCTCCCAATGACACCAGCCCAGACGTTAACTGAAAAATGGTGTTGGAAGGAATCTACTCTGCATGCGTGAGGATTTTCGTGCAGCCATAAATGTGTGTTGTGTTGATTGTACATTCTCACACGTGTGAATGTACTTTCATATGTCCAAATTATGTTCCGCTGCCAATTTTCTAATAACCAGCGGCTGAACTGCAAGCGTAGTACGTAATCGTTTGGAGTCAACTCCTGGCATCTTCTGAGGTGGAATGGATGTTCTTTATCACCACGAAGTGCTCTCCACACATGCATATGACTACATTGAAAGTGGGGCTCCTTCTCGAATACTGACATGGGGTTTCTCACGAAATAGTCCAGTATTTCGTTTTGAAGACGAGTACCACCGACGCTGTGTGACACCGAAACGACGCTGCCACACTCGGTATACAGATTCGACAGTTGGCTCTTTCTAGCAGACAGATCTCTAGCAAAAACCTTGGAGCCCTAGTTCCACTTGATCGCTTCTTTAATACGAGCAGTATTAAAATTGCGTAAGTCCCGCCGCATGCATTTGAGATCTGTCTGTTCAGTTGCCTGTATCCTGTCAAATCTACTTAAGACTGCAGCTTCATATCCCGTCTAACAGCCATTAGATTAAGAGTGTGATCGGAGAATTTTTGTGTACTTCTGCGGCGGGACTTGCAAAACTTAGCTCCCACCGCATGGACAGTTTCCACGAGCTTGACATTCATATCGTCCACTGCATTGCAATCTTCTGGGCACTGAAAACGGTTTCGTAGCTCGAGCTGAAAGGTTTCGGGACTTTGGATTATAGCACGAGGGGGACAGAGAGTTGATTTCATTAGACGTGACTTCTCCAACTTAACGTTTAGGTTCAGTGTGACTCTCACCAATCGGTGATCGCTGCCGGTTTTCACCCTCGCGATCACTGAGACATCACTGAACAGTTGTCGTCTTTTAGTCATAGCTGCTGGCCCCATGGGTTCCGTTGCCCTATTCCGAAATTCCCTACTTTCAGCTCACTGTTCTCTCTTGTGCCTAGTTTTGCGTTGAAGTCTCCCATTAACACCGTATAGTGGGTTTTGTAGGAATGCATGGCTCTAGAGATATCCTCATACATTTTCTCTACCTCCTCATCGGGGTGTGCCGAGGTTGGTGCGTAAACCTGTATGACCTTCAGTAAATACCGTTTGTTAATTCTGAGTATAAGGTACGCAAGCCTCTTCGATACACTCCCAATCTTTACAACGTTGTTAACGAGAGACTTGTGAACGATAAATCCGACACCTCCTTGGGACAGATGGTCGCCCTCCCGGTGATAGAACAAATTGCCGGATTCGAGGATTACCATGTCCTCCCCCTCTCTTCGGACTTCGGATAATCCTATGACATTCCAGCGCAATTTGTCTATCTCTTTTTCCAGCTACAGGATCTTCTCGTCAATCCTTAGGGTGCGTGCGTTATAAGTTGCTAGGTCGAGTCTTCGTAGGTGGCAACTGAACCTCCACCGGAGATTCTTAGGACCCCCTGCCCCGCCGTTACCATGGTCGCCATCGTAGTCAGGAATAGTGGGGCCGCCGGGGACTGGGGGGCCATCTCTTCGTTATAAAAGAAATAAGGATAAAAAAGAAATAAGGATAATTTTTCTTTATTTCGTGTTTGTGTTGTGTATTTCGATTGAATGACGGAATTCGTATTAATGCAAATAAAACTGCACTTTTAAAAGTCTTATATTCTTGAGTTACGGTCCATTTCAGTTTGTTTGGACTGTACATGTATAGTGTGACTATAGTCTACGTAGTTTTAATTATTTTTGGGGAAAAAACTACCTATATTAAAATATCGAAATCGATTCAGTAAACCATTCTGAACAAACTACTTTCAAGATGTGCGTTAATTATGTTACGTGTTGTATATATATAATAATTCAAGGTTATGCCTTTTGGTTTTAACAATGCAAGTCAAATGCAACAGAGCGTAATGGATAAGTTAGTTCCCCCAGAACATGAGGGTAAAATCTTTGCTTATTTGGATGATATTGTAGTATGTATTTAAATTTTTGAAGATAACATTAAGTCGTTGACTTGGGTTTAAAAGCAGTTCTCACAGTAAAATTTCAGAAGTGTCAGTTCGCTCGTCCTTCATTAATATTTTGGATAAAGAAGATTTAAGGACAGACCTAGAAAAAGTTAGTGCCATTTTGAACAATCTAATACCGAACACATATACAGAGGTAAAACGTTTTTAGGACTGGCGATTATTTTTGTAGTTAATGTGTAGCTGTAGAGTTAATTATAATTTTTGTGATATAGATATAGATAATTTATGGTTTCATGCCGAAAAATGTAATTCTTGGTTACCTGATGACAGTATTTGGTGTAAGGTATTTAATTGCAACACAACAGCGTACAACAACTCAATACTACAAAATATGTTGAATAAAACTATTTTTACGGATTTTATCGCGTTTAATTAACTTATTTTTATATTCCCGACGTTTCGGTTGCTTTCCAGCAACCGTGGTCACGGGGGACTGAGGTGATTGACGTCCCGATGTCAAAGTTAACCCGGAGTACCTTCAGCTTTTTAATTATTAATTTTGGTCCGATCTACGCAGAATGAACTAACTGTGTCTTGAAGTCTTGCAGTGGTATGCTTGGGTTTAGTTTTAATTTTATGAATTACAGGATCCCAAGCAGGTGGTAGTACCCAGCCTCCCTCTCTTTTGAAATTAGGATGTTTTTTAATTTCAATAGCCTCACGTATCATCCTTGGCAGGAATCGATGTTCTTTTGCGAGGACTTGTGGTTTATCAAATCTAATGTAATGGCGGGGGCCGTCTAGGATATGATCACAAACTGCAGACTTCCCGGAACGTTGGTGCTTCACGTCAGCTATGTGTTCTTTTACGCGGGTTTTTATTGATCGTTTTGTTTGCCCTATATATGAGAGACCACACTCACAATCAAGCTTGTATACTCCTGCATCTTGTAGAGGAATATTGCACTTGACGGATGGTAAGAACTGACTAATCTTCTTCGGCGGCTTGAAGAATGTTCTAATAGAAGCTCGCTTCAAGATGTAGCCAATCTTGTCTGTGACACCTCTGACATATGGTAGTACAGCAGGCACACGCTCGACTGTGGCCGGCTTCACTCGGTCACTGTGACGTAGGCGCGGAACCCGAAGCTTTTTGTCGTGCAGAACATGCTTGACGTGCTGAAGCTCGGCGGCCAGGTGTTTTTAGTATTGAGTTGTTGTTGGTTGTTGTGTTGCAATTAAATACCTTACACCAAAATACCGTCATCAGGTAACCAAGAATTACATTTTTCGGAAATATTTTTTTTAAATATAAAACAATCAAATTTTAATATTGGTGTTTGAGTATTCTAAGCTCTACTTTGATACCAATTTTGTATGACCACCCTGTCATGGTATAATTATAACAAACAATACCTGAGTTAGAAGAATGAGATCTTTTACTTAACTTATCACAGGAGTCACGGGTGTGTCCTCGCGTTTTGCAGTAAACACAGAATAGCTTTCTCTCACCATCACTATTTTTGTTCAAACACTGATCACTACGCGGCACCGGCACACGGTCACGTTATGGTTGCGAATCGGAGTCGGGGGCGCGCAGTTGCGGCGCCGTTGAACTCGAACCCGAAGTACTATGTTGAAGTCC